ACTTGGATTTATTAGGTTCTCTGGACTCTTGTTATTGGCAAAAACTACTGCCGTACAGAATTTAGAAAGGTCATGTAAGAAAACGCTGATTTCATGATCTAAAAAACAAATATTTATATTTGCAATAACTTATAACAACATAATTCTCATTTTGCAAATAAATAGAACATGTGTACTTACCAGAGCGAAAGTCTCGTAGTTTAAAGTGCAAAACGTCCCTGCCGTAAACATACAAGGTTGTATGCATCTATACCTTATAATTATAAGCAAAATTTTTGATTCCTTTGACAATCGATACCATTCGCCCATATACCTACGGAAGTAAATACTTTGGTAAATCATCATAACAAGTTGTGAGCACACGATCTTCAAATACAAATACAAAATACTTACGTTGATAAAAACAAATCTTCGCTTTCATTTACTAATAACTGTCCAGGCCAATTTAGTACAAATAAAGCCCCTGCTACTGCAACCAAAAACGTACTTTGTCTGGCTAACTCATAAAAGTTGGCTGTTTCAAGTATCTGCAATATTGAGTTTTTTATTTCGTTCATGTTATTTGATAAGAAGGTATGAAATTGTTCATAAAAAGCAGACTTACAGCGACTGGTATAATGCTAAGAAATATTAACATTCCCAGAATACCAAAGCCAAACAAAATGTTGAAGGACTCTTTAGTTGTGGTTACGATTCTGATTATTTTATCGAACAAATATAAAAAAAGTGAGTTTTATTTTTTTAGACAAACTTGAATACGTAATAGTGATGAGTTAAGAGATCATCAAATACACTTTAACATTTCATTATGGGTATAGCAGGTGACAAACTCAACAGCAGAAACAAATTGTCTAAATTAAAAACCTACAATAATCGAAGTTTTTCTGAACGAGATATTTTAAATCTTGCTGCCTTTTTGTTTTAATTATTTTGGTGGTAAATTTTTTTTTTTTTTTAAGGCATTTGGTTGAGTTGCTGATGCTAGATGGATCTAGTTTATATAGTACTTATTATGCTGTTTGGATACAATTTTTTAACCCACAGAAATTATTATGATACTTTAACTTGTATACATGCATATTTACTTTAAACAATCTTGATGTAATTTTACAGCAGAAATAATCATGTCATAGGATTCTTCTTTTTTCTCTGCAAGTTCCGTTGTTGCCAATCGTAAACGGTACCTACAATGATTTTCCGTCATATTTTTTTATGATTGGAACGCTGGTATTGTACAAAGTTATTAATTAAATTTTTATATTCACGTATGTCTTACTTAATAATGTTGAATATTCCAAAAATCTGATATACGAAAATTAAAAAACCGAAGACAATACATATTGTGATATAATCAGCAACAATCATGAGTACCAAACACGCAAAGTAGTGCATGAAATAATTTTCGTTTGGATCAGTAATGACATTGACTCTTAAAAACGCAATTCTTGGTCGAGGCTCATTTAATGGTGCAATCATGTCTANACTAATAATGATAATAATTTTATTTTATTTATTCCATCGATTACAAGCAAATTTTTTCTATTTCGTAGTACATATATTCTTATCTTGCTAAAAAAAAATTCTGAGTAACGTACTCAAGCTAAACATTATAATTTACCGTTGTTTATATTTTGCATCTTACTTTTCGTCTTAACCATGGTTAGTTTTTACTCTCCATTTTAAGATAAAATGATGACTAAATTAACCAATTGTGAATAAGTTGGGATTCATTTTTACAAAGAGCTGCTGGAATGCGAATAAACGTTTTTACTTATACTCTTTTCTATTTTTCTACATCGAAAGAAGGAAAGCTTTGAGATTAATTTATATTGTTAAAGAGAAAATATCCCAATATAAAATGTAACTTACATAATCAGACAGGATAAATAGCATTTGAACAACTTATAAAATCTAAATAAAAAAAAGTATGAAGTGATATGAAAGTATATTTTTCAAGGTTTTAAGATATGTTCCAACATTATTTTACTAAAAATTAATTAGGAATACCAATAAAGTATAATGTAACAAAAAAAATGTTTGGATTTAGAACCTTTAAAAAAAATAATTCGTACATAAAATCGCATGGAATCAAAAACCAGATACATAAAAGAAGCTACGAACGAGAATAAGTAAAAAGGGCATGGAAAAACATTCGAAAAGGAATTTTGATTGACCCGTTACAGCCAGTGAAGCAACGGTTGGCTTTGACGGCGAATGCGTCTCCATCAGGACTCAAATATTAATTTTTTTTACGACCACAAAGCTGGTTCCAGCCTGTCGAATCACTGGCTCTGCCCATCTATTTGCATGCCTCTCACTCCCCTTTCTTCCCTACCTAGCCCCTTTCTGGATGCAAGTTTCACATCAGATATGAGCGGATTTTGTACAACTGGTACAGCTCGAGCCACTCCCGTTCCGTATGCATGTGCTCTTATCAATTCACGTCAGCATGAAATTTTTAGCGCAGCTGTGTATACTGTACGTAGGAATTCTAGAGAAAAAAAAAACTTAGGAAAACACTCGTCCGATTTAGGATACAAATTTAAATGGAACTTTGGTGCCAAAAGTCCCAACGAGAAATAACTCTTAGTAGAAAAGTCAAGCGCTTTTTGTTCTAAAATTATGGCAAAGAATCGAAATAACTTCTAATTTCCAATTGTTTCAACAAAATTATAGAAAGAGTTAACAATTCATTAAAACGTACACACATTTCAAATAAATAACATTATTTAATAAACGTATTATAATTTGTTCGAAACAATTTGACATTGAGAAAACAATGTCTCTTACTTCGACAAGTACCAAAGAGTATATGACTTTCGATTGTAAACTTTGATATGTGCTTAGCCTGTAAAAAAACATCGTAGAAATTTGAAGAGAATGTGGGCCGTGAAAAACTTATGAAGGTATTAGTGGTATAATTACAAAAAAAAGAAAACACTTTCTTATTTTGCGTACGATATTTAATGATAGAAATATTGTATAAAGCTATAATAAAATACATAATAAAGGTTGATACATAGAACGTCTGACATGAACATATAACTACGAAACTAAATCTTGTTTAATTTGAAAAAAAAGTTAATGAGAGTAGATAATTCAGCAGTACTGTCGTCCCTTGCAGCAGTTGTGGTGCATCAGGATAAGGCATATTAGCCATAGTAATGTTGCAGTACAATGAGGACATGTTTAAAGATTCGATGAAAGTTAAACTTCTGTTGGCTATTATTTTCATAATATTTTGATCACCTCTTATCTAAATACTAAAAAAAATATTCTGTAATGATTTCTAGATTGATTTAAGTATTAATTAGAAATTATTAAACAATAATACTATTTCAATAGTCTTGTATAAAATTGCCTTGAAAAAACAAAATTGGATATCAATATATTTTCAAATATAGTTTTGTAAGTAAAAATATATTTTAAAGATGAGACTCTCTGGTTTAAAAAAATATGTCAATAGAAAACTTATCAGTTTTCAACACTTTTGATAAATACATTTGTGTATACTTTTGTATAGAATTTACACAAATCATCCAAAATCTTTTTAATTAATCGTCCATCACATCCTACTTTAAACAAAACCTGAAAGGCCATCGTGAACATTACTATAGTCTGTACCATCAAGGTCAGAGTAATTCACGAAGCAATTAAAATCACAAACAATTGAACTACATATTCTAAACAGGAGTTGTAAATCTTAGTGTGTTGGTTTGTTCTACGTCGTTTCTCCTCGTCACCAAGAAAATCCATATTTCAAGTGTTGAATAATGAACATCGCGCGTAACATTTGTTGAGTCACATCTATTGATTTGAATTATAAATTACACTCTCTGTTAACTTTCAGGGAACTTCATTTGACATTCGAATTCAAGTGGTCAAAGTAAAAAAAAAATTTTTTTGGAGGCATTAAAATACTTGGATTTATTAGGTTCTCTGGACTCTTGTTATTGGCAAAAACTACTGCCGTACAGAATTTAGAAAGGTCATGTAAGAAAACGCTGATTTCATGATCTAAAAAACAAATATTTATATTTGCAATAACTTATAACAACATAATTCTCATTTTGCAAATAAATAGAACATGTGTACTTACCAGAGCGAAAGTCTCGTAGTTTAAAGTGCAAAACGTCCCTGCCGTAAACATACAAGGTTGTATGCATCTATACCTTATAATTATAAGCAAAATTTTTGATTCCTTTGACAATCGATACCATTCGCCCATATACCTACGGAAGTAAATACTTTGGTAAATCATCATAACAAGTTGTGAGCACACGATCTTCAAATACAAATACAAAATACTTACGTTGATAAAAACAAATCTTCGCTTTCATTTACTAATAACTGTCCAGGCCAATTTAGTACAAATAAAGCCCCTGCTACTGCAACCAAAAACGTACTTTGTCTGGCTAACTCATAAAAGTTGGCTGTTTCAAGTATCTGCAATATTGAGTTTTTTATTTCGTTCATGTTATTTGATAAGAAGGTATGAAATTGTTCATAAAAAGCAGACTTACAGCGACTGGTATAATGCTAAGAAATATTAACATTCCCAGAATACCAAAGCCAAACAAAATGTTGAAGGACTCTTTAGTTGTGGTTACGATTCTGATTATTTTATCGAACAAATATAAAAAAAGTGAGTTTTATTTTTTTAGACAAACTTGAATACGTAATAGTGATGAGTTAAGAGATCATCAAATACACTTTAACATTTCATTATGGGTATAGCAGGTGACAAACTCAACAGCAGAAACAAATTGTCTAAATTAAAAACCTACAATAATCGAAGTTTTTCTGAACGAGATATTTTAAATCTTGCTGCCTTTTTGTTTTAATTATTTTGGTGGTAAATTTTTTTTTTTTTTTAAGGCATTTGGTTGAGTTGCTGATGCTAGATGGATCTAGTTTATATAGTACTTATTATGCTGTTTGGATACAATTTTTTAACCCACAGAAATTATTATGATACTTTAACTTGTATACATGCATATTTACTTTAAACAATCTTGATGTAATTTTACAGCAGAAATAATCATGTCATAGGATTCTTCTTTTTTCTCTGCAAGTTCCGTTGTTGCCAATCGTAAACGGTACCTACAATGATTTTCCGTCATATTTTTTTATGATTGGAACGCTGGTATTGTACAAAGTTATTAATTAAATTTTTATATTCACGTATGTCTTACTTAATAATGTTGAATATTCCAAAAATCTGATATACGAAAATTAAAAAACCGAAGACAATACATATTGTGATATAATCAGCAACAATCATGAGTACCAAACACGCAAAGTAGTGCATGAAATAATTTTCGTTTGGATCAGTAATGATATTGACTCTTAAAAACGCAATTCTTGGTCGAGGCTCATTTAATGGTGCAATCATGTCTAAATATACTGGTAATAAAGATGACAGAACAGCTATTATAAAGCCCATAATCCAAAAGCCTGTAAATAATATTAAAAGATTACACATAATCTTTTGTTGCTGATCATGATGACTTATGTTGGAATAATTACCTAACATAATATGTACGTAACGTAATCCAATTTTGGAATATTTTATCATAATAGCTTTTTCGTTGTAATTATTCACAGAATTCCAATTATGCTCCAAAATTTTGTACAACTCCTCAATCTTAATAAAAGCATTCTGAGTTTAAAAATATTATTTACATTTGTAGAGATTTAGTTGTAAACAATAATCTTACAGTACCTTCTTTATATTCAGTATGATGTAATAATATTCCACTTGTGTTACAGTTAAAAACAGGAGAATAATGAAATTTTCAGCCCACAGTAAGAAATTTCCTCTCCAGTTGTTTATTGCACCTAACAACTAGAAAAATGAATCAATTATTTTTTTAAATTAGTGTATAATTATATTATTATGGGAATTTTTGATTTATCGAAGTTTCTATTGGAAATGTAATGTACAACGAGTGTTTACTTGTATCCACTTAAAGTAAAAAGTTTACGGAGGAAGCATACTGTAACATGTACACTAAGTACTCAACGTTTCATTTTTTGTGACGATTTTGTAGGTGTAAGATAGTGAATTTTTTTACAAAATATATATTTGGACATAAGTGTTTACTCCAAAAAAGGGTTTGCTTCGATTCTCAATGGATAGTATATTTCCAAAATATCAGTAACATTTGTACTCTTTGTGTGAAATAAAAATTCTATAAAAGCGGCAAGTTTAATATTCGAGGCAAGCATTAAAGTTTACTGATTGACTTGTGTTCCACTAAATAACCAAACAATTCGCACTGCATTGGTCTATAAATTATCAAATGGGACCGAATGTAACAATTACTTATTAAACAAATATCTTGATAGATAAGCCATTTATGATGAAATACAGAAAACTGAACTGAACCGAATNATATGACTTTCGATTGTAAACTTTGATATGTGCTTAGCCTGTAAAAAAACATCGTAGAAATTTGAAGAGAATGTGGGCCGTGAAAAACTTATGAAGGTATTAGTGGTATAATTACAAAAAAAAGAAAACACTTTCTTATTTTGCGTACGATATTTAATGATAGAAATATTGTATAAAGCTATAATAAAATACATAATAAAGGTTGATACATAGAACGTCTGACATGAACATATAACTACGAAACTAAATCTTGTTTAATTTGAAAAAAAAGTTAATGAGAGTAGATAATTCAGCAGTACTGTCGTCCCTTGCAGCAGTTGTGGTGCATCAGGATAAGGCATATTAGCCATAGTAATGTTGCAGTACAATGAGGACATGTTTAAAGATTCGATGAAAGTTAAACTTCTGTTGGCTATTATTTTCATAATATTTTGATCACCTCTTATCTAAATACTAAAAAAAATATTCTGTAATGATTTCTAGATTGATTTAAGTATTAATTAGAAATTATTAAACAATAATACTATTTCAATAGTCTTGTATAAAATTGCCTTGAAAAAACAAAATTGGATATCAATATATTTTCAAATATAGTTTTGTAAGTAAAAATATATTTTAAAGATGAGACTCTCTGGTTTAAAAAAATATGTCAATAGAAAACTTATCAGTTTTCAACACTTTTGATAAATACATTTGTGTATACTTTTGTATAGAATTTACACAAATCATCCAAAATCTTTTTAATTAATCGTCCATCACATCCTACTTTAAACAAAACCTGAAAGGCCATCGTGAACATTACTATAGTCTGTACCATCAAGGTCAGAGTAATTCACGAAGCAATTAAAATCACAAACAATTGAACTACATATTCTAAACAGGAGTTGTAAATCTTAGTGTGTTGGTTTGTTCTACGTCGTTTCTCCTCGTCACCAAGAAAATCCATATTTCAAGTGTTGAATAATGAACATCGCGCGTAACATTTGTTGAGTCACATCTATTGATTTGAATTATAAATTACACTCTCTGTTAACTTTCAGGGAACTTCATTTGACATTCGAATTCAAGTGGTCAAAGTAAAAAAAAAATTTTTTTGGAGGCATTAAAATACTTGGATTTATTAGGTTCTCTGGACTCTTGTTATTGGCAAAAACTACTGCCGTACAGAATTTAGAAAGGTCATGTAAGAAAACGCTGATTTCATGATCTAAAAAACAAATATTTATATTTGCAATAACTTATAACAACATAATTCTCATTTTGCAAATAAATAGAACATGTGTACTTACCAGAGCGAAAGTCTCGTAGTTTAAAGTGCAAAACGTCCCTGCCGTAAACATACAAGGTTGTATGCATCTATACCTTATAATTATAAGCAAAATTTTTGATTCCTTTGACAATCGATACCATTCGCCCATATACCTACGGAAGTAAATACTTTGGTAAATCATCATAACAAGTTGTGAGCACACGATCTTCAAATACAAATACAAAATACTTACGTTGATAAAAACAAATCTTCGCTTTCATTTACTAATAACTGTCCAGGCCAATTTAGTACAAATAAAGCCCCTGCTACTGCAACCAAAAACGTACTTTGTCTGGCTAACTCATAAAAGTTGGCTGTTTCAAGTATCTGCAATATTGAGTTTTTTATTTCGTTCATGTTATTTGATAAGAAGGTATGAAATTGTTCATAAAAAGCAGACTTACAGCGACTGGTATAATGCTAAGAAATATTAACATTCCCAGAATACCAAAGCCAAACAAAATGTTGAAGGACTCTTTAGTTGTGGTTACGATTCTGATTATTTTATCGAACAAATATAAAAAAAGTGAGTTTTATTTTTTTAGACAAACTTGAATACGTAATAGTGATGAGTTAAGAGATCATCAAATACACTTTAACATTTCATTATGGGTATAGCAGGTGACAAACTCAACAGCAGAAACAAATTGTCTAAATTAAAAACCTACAATAATCGAAGTTTTTCTGAACGAGATATTTTAAATCTTGCTGCCTTTTTGTTTTAATTATTTTGGTGGTAAATTTTTTTTTTTTTTTAAGGCATTTGGTTGAGTTGCTGATGCTAGATGGATCTAGTTTATATAGTACTTATTATGCTGTTTGGATACAATTTTTTAACCCACAGAAATTATTATGATACTTTAACTTGTATACATGCATATTTACTTTAAACAATCTTGATGTAATTTTACAGCAGAAATAATCATGTCATAGGATTCTTCTTTTTTCTCTGCAAGTTCCGTTGTTGCCAATCGTAAACGGTACCTAAAAAGATTTTTCGTCATAATTTTTATGATTGAAACGTTGGTACTGCTCCAAGTAATTTATTTAATTTGTGTGCTTATGTATATCTTACTTGATAATGTTGAATATTCCAAAAATGTGATACTCGAAAATTAAAAAACCGAAGACAATACATATTGTGATATAATCAGCAACAATCATGAGTACCAAACACGCAAAGTAGTGCATGAAATAATTTTCGTTTGGATCAGTAATGACATTGACTCTTAAAAACGCAATTCTTGGTCGAGGCTCATTTAATGGTGCAATCATGTCTAAATATACTGGTAATAAAGATGACAGAACAGCTATTATAAAGCCCATAATCCAAAAGCCTGTAAATAATATTAAAAGATTACACATAATCTTTTGTTGCTGATCATGATGACTTATGTTGGAATAATTACCTAACATAATATGTACGTAACGTAATCCAATTTTGGAATATTTTATCATAATAGCTTTTTCGTTGTAATTATTCACAGAATTCCAATTATGCTCCAAAATTTTGTACAACTCCTCAATCTTAATAAAAGCATTCTGAGTTTAAAAATATTATTTACATTTGTAGAGATTTAGTTGTAAACAATAATCTTACAGTACCTTCTTTATATTCAGTATGATGTAATAATATTCCACTTGTGTTACAGTTAAAAACAGGAGAATAATGAAATTTTCAGCCCACAGTAAGAAATTTCCTCTCCAGTTGTTTATTGCACCTAACAACTAGAAAAATGAATCAATTATTTTTTTAAATTAGTGTATAATTATATTATTATGGGAATTTTTGATTTATCGAAGTTTCTATTGGAAATGTAATGTTTAAAAAAATTATTTTTCCAACAGTGCCACAATTTTTTTTCCAAAAAATTAAACTATTGATGAAAGATAGTTAATGGGAGTATAAACGCTAGGCANGAATAATGAAATTTTCAGCCCACAGTAAGAAATTTCCTCTCCAGTTGTTTATTGCACCTAACAACTAGAAAAATGAATCAATTATTTTTTTAAATTAGTGTATAATTATATTATTATGGGAATTTTTGATTTATCGAAGTTTCTATTGGAAATGTAATGTACAACGAGTGTTTACTTGTATCCACTTAAAGTAAAAAGTTTACGGAGGAAGCATACTGTAACATGTACACTAAGTACTCAACGTTTCATTTTTTGTGACGATTTTGTAGGTGTAAGATAGTGAATTTTTTTACAAAATATATATTTGGACATAAGTGTTTACTCCAAAAAAGGGTTTGCTTCGATTCTCAATGGATAGTATATTTCCAAAATATCAGTAACATTTGTACTCTTTGTGTGAAATAAAAATTCTATAAAAGCGGCAAGTTTAATATTCGAGGCAAGCATTAAAGTTTACTGATTGACTTGTGTTCCACTAAATAACCAAACAATTCGCACTGCATTGGTCTATAAATTATCAAATGGGACCGAATGTAACAATTACTTATTAAACAAATATCTTGATAGATAAGCCATTTATGATGAAATACAGAAAACTGAACTGAACCGAATGTCAAATGTCAGAATATTTAGAAAGTATTAAGTATTAGCTGAAATATTGCTAGTAAACAACCCAATCGTAAAAATTTCAATCTTTTCTCGCAACGGCATGATGATCAAGTTAACCTTAGTTAATAAATCGAATGTTTATTATCATCGCTTAGAATTGAGGTAATGTCTTGGATACAACCACACATCTCTGACACATTATTACTTCTAAGTTGAAAAATACTTATCATTGATACAATACAAAGCATCCAAGATTTACTAATATTTGTGCTTAAAAAATGTACTTACGGCAAAAACTTGACCGGATACCAGGACCAATGACATAATGAAATACAAAATTACTCTTTCAAATCCAGGTCTATTAAAGTATAACCCAATTATAATATTCATATTTTTAATCGTCTTCATATGTTCGGCATCATAAAAACTAGTTGGTGATTCCGAACTCATTTTGTTTTGTACTTTGCCGTCAATCTTGCTCAACACTAATCCCACCTTGGATTTCCGCCACGTAGAGGCCAAGGTGTGATACTCCAACTCATTTTTTATTTAGACTTTTAATTTGCTTGCAATTTTAAAACTGCTATGGAAAACATTGCTTCCACACATACGCTTAATTGTTCCACAATTTGCATGCGTAACATTCGTATGTGCGTGTTTCTTGATGAGTCTTTATTGATCTGTCAATATGTCACGAGGCTTTTAAAAAAAGGCGGAAATTAAAACTATAGTAAATAAAAATTTTTTTTTCGGCATATACAATTTTAACAAGAAAAAAAAACAGATTATTTGACTATTAATTGTCTCTAAATACCGTGGCATTCGCCCCACGCCCAAATTTTAAGATAGAGATCTTTTGGATAGTGTCACTGCCAATCAAGCCGCATATTGACCTTGCCTTTGAAGAAAACTTATTTCCTTAACTAAAACGAACTGTTCAATATTTGATTCAAGATTGTTCTGGAAGAAAAAGATAAAATATGTCTAAATAGGAAGATAATAAGAAAAGTGACTTCTTGCTGCTGTATGAATATTAGTTAAATTAAATTAGTTCAAATAATTTTCTGTTAACATACTTGTACGTTGATAGTAAACAAATCCTTCTCTCAGTGTACACTTTCTAAATGGTTATATTTTAATATTTTTATTACATTATACATATAAGAAGTGTTACAATAGAATGTGTACAGTGATGGGAAGCTTATAAGTTTTTGAACTTTTGAGAAATACGTATGTGTATACTTTTGTATGGAATTGACAAAAATCATGCAAAATATTTCTAATGAATCATCTATGACATCTTACTTTGAACAAAACCTGAAAGGCCATCGTGAGCATTACTATAGTCTGTACCATCAAGGTCAGAGTAATTCACGAAGCAATTAAAATCACAAACAATTGAACTACATATTCTAAACAGGAGTTGTAAATCTTAGTGTGTTGGTTTGTTCTACGTCGTTTCTCCTCGTCACCAAGAAAATCCATATTTCAAGTGTTGAATAATGAACATCGCGCGTAACATTTGTTGAGTCACATCTA